CCGAAACCCATATTTTAATTTATCGAACCAAATATTATATGATGCATTTATAGAAGGGTGCTGCATGTTCATGTCAGAGGACATTGCCACAAATCTGATTTGAATGAAATAAAGAAGTGGGGCACGGAATAGAGACATTCAGCCAATATTTGGTGGAAATTGGATTGTTATGATTAATTAAAGACGTGCTGATTAGTTGTCCAGGTGGACAGGACAAGGAATTATTTAGAGGGGACGATATTAAAATGGCAATTTTTAGCTTCACATTTGCATTTGCTTCGAATAGGAGGATCGTCGGTCTAGGCAATAGTAATAACGTGGTCCAACAAGATGTGCATCTCACGGGACCCTTTTAGATTCGCTATTTCTATAGCGACTAATGATAATGTTACCCTTCTAGGTTGTGGTATCGAAGGCACACCTGAAAAATTTTTACTTTTGGTTCGTGTGTATTTTCACGCCTTTCCCCAAAATAAAGTATTTGTACTTTTAATTCGTCTAATAAAGTATTTTATTTTTTACAAATTATCTAATCAAGTCCCTCCGATCAAATCCGAATTAAGTGTGCCGTTGAACGAAGTTGTATTATAACGTGGATAACATTTTTTTTTTCAATGTGGCTGAATTTTATCCACATCGTACTTTCGAGCTGTCTACATTAGCTAAAGTTTCCATACATATCCACGTGGGCATCCGCATATTTTGTTTGCAACGTACTTTGGCATCGCTTATCAGCCGTGTCAACTGAATTTGGTCGGCTTTGGGGTAAGAGGGACTTCGTTTGAAAATTTGTAAGAATGAGTTGATTAAACAAGTTAAAAGTACACGGACTTGATCACAAAATACGGAGACGAAAGTGAAATTTTACTTTCATTTGAACGTTTCTTATATGTAGATTAGGGGAAAGTGATGATAATCAACATATGCACGTTCCACATTAGACTTCTTATCATTTACAAAAAAAAAATTCCGATGGCGCAGCTCGTTTTCCATATCAAAACTCGAATCATATCGAATTTGTTGGGAAAAGTGCTTAATAAGTCCTAAACCTTTTGGGGTGGTGTCAATTTAGTCATAAAACCTATTTTTTGTGCCAATTGAGTCCTAAACCTTTTGATATAGTGCCAATTCAGTCCTTTTGGCCGGATTTTGCTGACGTGGACGTCGGCCGGCCGGCGACCGATCACTGGCGCCGACGTGGACAAAATTTAATATTTTTTAAATATTTTTTTGAATTTTTTTTCTTTTCTTTTTCTTCTCCCTCTTCCTTCAGCCGCTCGCCGGAGCGGCGACCGGCCGGAGGCCAAAGGCCGGCGAGGTCGACCTCGCCGGCCTCGGGCGAGCCACGCAGCCACTGGCGAGGCTCAACCTCACCGGATCGAGGTCCAGTGACCGGTCGCCGGCCAGCCGACGTCCACGTCAGCAAAATCCGGCCAAAAGGACTGAATTGGCACTATATCAAAAGGTTTAGGACTCAATTGGCACAAAAAATAGGTTTAGGACTAAATTGGCACCATCCCAAAAGGTTTAGGACTTATTCAGCACTTTTACCCGAATTTATTAGAGACGACATACAAGATTGTGCACGAAAACGGGAGTTGGTATATTGGATTCCTCCATTGATGTTAAGATTGCTTCAACATAGTCCACCAATTAGCTCAATTAGAAATCAATATTATTCACACACAAAAAAAAAAAGATAAGATATAGCCGTTAAATGACCAATTGTTGCACAATTCAACCGTTAGCATAGAAACATTACCATGACCAAAAGAATGGCCCTCCCACGATGGACCCACCTCACCTAATACAAAGCTGGCATTGGAATATAATCCCCCAAAAAAGCAAATATATACACACCCCACAATCCCCTCCCACTCCACTCTGTCCACTCCAACCCACAATCCCTCTCCTCCACACTCTCCTCCTCCTCCGCCACAATGAAGCCGGCACCGCCACTCCCCCCCGCCGCCGCCGCCCTTGCCCTCGCCCTCGCCCTACTCCTCTGCCTCTCCCTCTCCCCCGCCGCCGACGCCCACAACATCACGCACATCCTCGCCAAGCACCCCGAGTTCTCCACCTTCAACCACTACCTCACCGTCACCCACCTCGCTGCCGAGATCAACCGCCGCCTCACCATCACTGTCCTCGCGGTCGACAACGGCGCCATGAGCGCCATCCTGGACAAGCACCTCTCGATCGGGACCCTCAAAAACCTCCTGTCCCTCCACGTGCTCGTGGACTACTTCGGCACCAAGAAGCTCCACCAGATCAGCAGCGGCACCACCCTCACCTCCACCATGTTCCAGGCCACCGGCACGGCGGCCGGCACCTCCGGCTACATCAACATCACCGACCTCAAGGGCGGGAAGGTCGGGTTCGGCGCCGAGGACAACGGGGGCGATCTCAACGCCGTTTTCGTGAAGTCCGTGGACGAGATTCCCTACAACATCTCTGTTTTGCAGATCAGCCAGGTACATTATAGACACGGTCTCGCCAAAATTTCTACATTAAAGATCCTACCGACATTTATGCCCTGTTAATCACTATTGTTCTTGAATTCCTAGCTATGACTTCTTGTCCTTTTCGCATTACACACGTGAAAGATGCTGTCGCATGCAATTTGTTAGAAGTGTCCAATAATTCAATAATTTTCCCTACTTGCCCAATCAAAAGAGATGTCTTCAAATTCGAATTTGATGTTTTTTATGATACTTTAATTCGCACATGACATTAGGTCACACCATTTGCACTTGCCTAGGATCATCAATTAGGCCAAAAATTCAATGTTGGTCATCAATTTTTTGGAGTGCCATTGGTTGATTAGTATAAATTTAGAACCAAACAGGATGTTAAATGTTGATAAGATTCATATTTACCGTAGCCTAGGTGGTTTTGTATTAGATGGTTAGTTATTGAAATGATTTTATTTGCTAGGTTTTGACCTCGCCGGAGGCCGAAGCTCCGACCGCGAGCCCGAGCGACCTGAACATCACGGCCATCCTGTCGAAGCAGGGCTGCAAGTCCTTCGCCGACCTCATCTCCGCCTCCGGCGCCCTCAAGACCTTCGACGACAACCTCGAGGGCGGCCTGACCATCTTCTGCGCCTCCGACGCCGTCCTCTCCGCGTTCATGCCCAAGTACAAGAACCTCACCGCGGCCCGGAAGCTGTCCCTCCTCCTGTACCACGGCGTCCCCGTGTACCAGTCCCTCCAGATGCTCAAGTCGAACAACGGCGCCATGAACACCCTCGCCACCGACGGCGCGAGCAAGTTCGACTTCACCGTCCAGAACGACGGCGAGGACGTGAAGCTCGAGACCAAGGTCGTGACGGCGACGATCACCGCGACGGTGATCGATCAGGACCCTCTGATCGTCTACAAGATCGACAAGGTCCTGCAGCCGAGGGAGCTGTTCAAGGCGTCGGCGGCGGACGCGCCGGCACCGGCGCCCAAGGGGAGCACGAAGAAGAAGAAGAAGAAGGAGTCCGAGGCCGACGCGCCGGAGGCGGACTCGCCCGACGGGGACCCGGCGGACCAGACGGCGGACAGCAACGGCGTCGGCGGCGGCGGGTTGAGTGGGGTGAGAGTGGTGGTGGGCGTGGTCTTGAGTTTGTGCTTGTCGGTGGTTTTTCTGTAAAAAAAAGAAAAAAAAGTGCTTTCTTTTTCATTTCTTTTTTTATTGTTTTTCTTGTTTTTCAATTGGTGCATGTGTGAAGAATGTTATATTGGAACAAAAAATTGATCGATTTGGAGATTGGAGATTTGTGGGGAGGGACGTGATTGTGAATATAAAAGTATGGGTGTCCTTAAATTGATAAAATCTTTGATAATTTATTTATCAAAGAGAGGTGGGGGGCCATGTGACAGATAGTGTTTGATTTTTGTATTATTGACTGTGAAAAGGATTCAAATAAAGAGAAATGGGGTCCGGAGAGGGATATTTACTTGAGATTTGTTTTGATTTGTTGTCTTTTCCTGTAAATTAATGTTTGGACTGTGTAATTTTCATGAGCATTGTCTCTCTTACAATTACCATCGATCATTGATGCACAGACTCTGTAATTTTTCTTTTTCCGGAAAAAGAATCCACATCGAACATCATTGACTTGGATAATTATACTTTTAGTAATCAATTAACCATCTAAATCATAATATCCGTCAAAAAATGGTTATAAAGATAGCTTCTACAAATGTAATAGGGATAATGACACAAATGGTCTATTAACTTTGGTTCAATGTACAATGCGGTCCCTGAACTTTAAATTTGTTTAATGTAGTTCCTGAACTTTTGGTACATATTCAATTTAGTCCATCAACCGTATGAAAATGTTCAATATTGTCCTCCAATAATTTATGTTGTGGAGACAACATTGAATATTTTCATACAATCCGGGGACTTAATTGAACATGTACTAAAAGCTCAGGAACTACATTGAACAAATTAAAAGTTCAGGAATGACATTGCATATTAGGTTAAAATTTAGGGACCACATTACACGTCCGGCCAAAGTTCAAAAACGATTTGTGTCATTTACCTAATATAACATACATAATTCAACTTAATATCTTTTTTTTTTTTCATGAAATAGTGAATTTTTTAATGTCACAATGAAGGAATGAAAGGTGAAAGGGACACAAATGATTATATAGAAAAAGATTGTCACCGATAAGTCACACCTCATTCCTCATGATATGCTGGCAGCTGGCAAGCACATTTTAGCACAGAACATAATCCATGAAACATGTATGGTCTAATGTCACTTCAATGACAAATCAACTATAGTTTGAAAGATTGTTAGAACTGAGAAGCACTTCAGAAGATAAATGATATGACCATGTACTTAATCTATTTAACAGTACCTGCTCCCTCGAGAGCTGTTATTGCATCCAATTTCTCATCTTTTGCAAGCTGAAGAACGACATTGGCAAGATACAAAGATGATGAAGATACACTGGAAAAAAGATGTCCAGTACACTCAGAGAATCACACTGCATGAATCTGATAATCTGCTGCTTGCTGGCTTCGTATACATTTATCGACTAACTTTACAAGTTTGATTTGGTAAAATATGTCCAGATTATGCACAGAAACTACAGATGGAAATTCGAGGTGTCGGCGCACGCGGATCAAATTACAAGTTACAACAACATACAAAGCGTGAAACACCATGAAAAAACATAGACTTGGGATAATTGCCCGAGCAGAACCGTTACTGATTCAATCATCTTCTGCTCAAGATTAATAGCCAAAGTCTGCACAGCGGATATTGTGCCTCGCAGCGAGATAATGTACGCCAACCGGTCCTTCACTGCCACATGTGTAGAGCTCTGGTTGAACCTTCCTCTGCTCTAGTTCTTTCAGTAACGGCGTAAATACTGCCCAAGCTGCATCGAGTTCATCGCTCCTGATGAACAGTCGATGCTCTCCTTTTGTAGCGTCCAAGAGGAGCCTCTCATATGCATCGGGGCCTTCATTCGGGTACCTTCATGAGGAAAACATATCTAAGGATAATAATGTATTGGGCAATCATCATGAATGACACGGAGTAACATGAGTGTGGGTACTGGATATCCGACTCGAGTTCCCATTATGTAGCTCATCATGCCATTCTAAGCAGAAGATACTTATCATGAAAGCCGGTTATTTTACGTAGTCCAGCATTGGAAGTAAAACTTTTTCTCGCCTTTTAGTATCATATCTGATGACCTTATCTTGTTTTTGTTCTAATAGACAAAAGGGTTGAGAAAAGAAGCACAACGACCCCCAGTCGTTACCTTAAGAGTCTTACCACCACTGCAGAATGTCTAGTTTGAGCCATAGCTAATCAGAAAGTAAGTCTCTCCTTTGTACAACAATGGATGGCACCAGATATTATAACAGCATTGTTGATCGTCAAGCAAAAATCGTATTAAAAATCCTCTCTCTCTCTCTCTCTCTCTCTCTCTCTCTCTCTGTAAGCGTAAATTACCGGGGAATATTTGAAGTATCTTACCTCGTTTTGAAAAGCAAGTTCAGGTCACTGCAATCCAATCTCTTTCCGAGGCCTGGAACCTTATTGTTGATCTTTAGGTAGATAGCTTCATCTGGCTGTACTCGAATCACGAGCTCGTTCGTAGCCTTATCCAAATCAGTTCCAAAGTTCCGATTGTACAGATTACCAGGGACATGCCTGAACTGCACTCTGATTTCTGCACTGAAAATCATGATAATAGGATACATTTCAATCTACTGTTTACTCTTGACAGCATACATTTTTCTGGAAAGTGAAAATTGTATGGGACCAAAAGGTACTAAGTTTAGCTACCGCTTTGACTGGAGAGCTTTGCCCGCAATCATCATGAAGGGAACTCCATCCCACCGTGCATTGTTAATGGAGAGAGTTGCAGCTGCAAAAGTTGGCGTGAGGCTATTTTTTGACACCGTTGGATCATCAGTGTAAGCTGGATATGTTGCATTCCCTTCACTGCAGCCCTTATATTGGCCCACGACCACATCTTGAAGACACAGAGGTTTTATAGAACGTAATACCTTAACCTGATTCAAAAGATGTTGAAGATTTGGTCACTGGAATACATAAAAGAATCACATGATGACTACTCATGTTCAATTTATGACCTACAGAAGTTAATTTAGTGAGAGCTATTCATGCAAAACAATCAAATTCATGTTATTTCGGTGTTGGTCATATGGACTTCCTCCAATAATTGGTCCATTATGCCTCCCTCCTCTCATTACAAAATCCCTTAGAAGGAATTCGATAAAAGAAGACATCTTCCTACCTTTTCGTTCCTTATGTCCTCAGCATCCAGGCTGACAGGTGTTTCCATTGCAAATAATGCTAGTAAATGTATTAGATGATTCTGCAGTATATCCCTTATTATTCCATAGTCGTCGAAGTATCTGCAAAGAGAAGTGCAAAGAGAAGCAACGGATCATGGTGATGTTCACATGTAAGAAAATCATATAGTTCTGGGGAGGAAATAAGACTAACCTGCCTTGACCCTCTGTCCCCAAATCTTCAGAGAATATTAGTTGCACATTTCTTATGTAGTTCCGGGACCATAAAGGCTCAAATACCAGATTTGAAAAACGAAGTGCTAAGAGGTTTTCAAACAGCTCCTCGCCCAAGTGATGGTCAATTCTGTGGGAACATCAGATGTGTCCAACATCAATGTACCTAATATTTTACCATACAAACCGTAGGTATCATGATAGATTTATACCTGAATATTTCATCCTCAGACAGATATTGCCTTAAACTTCTTGTCAGTCCCCTGGATGACTCCAAGTCACGACCGAATGGTTTTTCAACAATGACACGAGTCCAACCGTTAAGGGAAGAAGCACGACGCCTAGCACATCGCACCGCATCAACAAACAGATTTGGAGGAATGGCTAAGTAATAGAGCCTATTTGAACGTCTTCCAGCCTGAAATGAGATTTTATGAGATTATATTCAGCGTGCCATCACTTGCTGAATAAACAGTCTGAGACGCTAGATTGTTGCTAATCCATAGTCTATATGCAGATGACACAATAAGCTCATTTCCCAGGGGATTCTATATCTACATTCTTGATGCTGATTATGCTAATGCATTTAATCCAAACTTTTATAATAGCATAGTCCAAAGAGAGAATCCAAGTATCCATAAGTACCTCTTTCTCCTTCAAAATTTTGTCGAGCTCGAGGAAGTGTTCCTCGGAGCTATACTGACCCGAGTGGTAAAAGCATCTCTTCAAGAACTGATTCATTTTCTCAACACAGCTTTCCCTGTTTGCAACAGGTGATTAACACAAGTGAATCACAAACTTGAGCATAGTATCATGTAAGACCATGTGTACCTCTTGTCAATTCTACATGTCAAATTTTTGCTAATGGACTTCCTCAGCTCATCATGAGTCAATGTACTCCGTCCATAGCCAAAAATTGTGAAATTCTATAGACCAGCAAAAGAAAATATAAGACATTATGCTAAATGAAAAAAACAATAAAGACAGAAATTTCAGGTCAGATAATTGATAATAGATGCGGAATAAACCTCGGGGAGATGATCTTCGTAAAACAAAGCAAATAGTGCAGGGAAGATCTTGTTCCTTGCTAGGTCCCCTGAAGCTCCAATAACAACAATGCTAAGAGTTGACTCTTCCTTTTGTGGTTCCATAAAGGCCAGAGAACTCTTTTTTTCTTGAGTTTTAACAGGATTAGCGGTAAAGGATTGTGTCCGGATACCCTCTGCATCAACCAGCCTCATATTCAGATACCGGGACTAGTTTATGACACCAGACAACAAATTAAGAATAGAAAAAATAGACCGCATTGAATCTCAATTACATTTACTTTTATCATTTAATCACATAACATAGTCAAACGTATCTAACAAAGAAAGCATACTGAACAGCGAGAGGAGAATGCATTCAGTTGTAATCAAGGATTGCGAAACAAAGGGAAGCCAACCAATAGATGCACCAGACTTATAGCGCCAATAAAATTGCTCTTGCATTGACTAGATCTTTATAGTATGGCACTCATCAATTTCCATTACATCATAGAGGTCAAGGATGTTAAGGGAGTTCGGCATGTCGTGTTTGTTCTGCACAATACCCAATCAAAGCATGACAAGATGTGAAAAAGAGGCCAAGACACATGAGATCCCGGTGATTGTCCGGCATCAAATAATATTCGATCGCGAGTCAAAAGTAAGAAAACTGCAAACCCATTTATGCTACTTACTTTTGAGATCTGAGTACGGAGTTAGCAAGAAGGTTTGCTATTTAGAGCTATTCTTTTAATAGTACTGGTCCTACTGGAAGGTCACATATTCACCAATAAAACTATGTGAAATAGGAAATGCATGACATTGTGATGAAAATTCATCATACAACAAATTCAGCTAGGCGCCGTACAAAAGGCATGAGCAATTACTATGTATCTATCATATCGTCGCACAATTGTGGTTCCCCTGCACATGGATCCGAAGCGGACTAAATTAAGCATACATCACTAGCACCAAGCAAGATTACAACTGTATGCCGCATTTTTCTTTCAATTTTCGAACCGTGGTCAATCAAGCATGCCTCTGTTCTTAAAACCGCAACGTCTCTCAAGAACTGAATCACCTTTGACTAATCACAACCAAATTCACACAGTACGGAAATTCAAGCCGTCGCGTTCAGTAAAACCAACCAATCATCTGAAACTGTAGATTAAGACATTTTCTCAAACAGATCCTTCACTAGGAAACCAAACCTTCAAGAGCACAAAAAGCCATATGCCAATCAAACGACCAACAAATTTTCACGAACACAAAGCAAGCGAAAGAAAAGAGACGAACCAGTCTGCAATGAAACGGCGCCCGGTGGGTGCGCATTGGACGCTTCGATCTCGAACTTCCCGCCATTTTTACTTCTCCGATACGACCAGGTCGTTAAAGACGTTCTTGCCGGTAACGTCTTGTGATCGAACGAAGCGCAAGAAAAGGCAGCTGAAGAAGAAGGAGAACAGGGGCTTAAACGTAAGGCCATGTAGAGAACTGGGCAGAAACTAAGAAAAGATGGAAGCTCTAGTTTGTTTTTCTGTTTTTGTTGGGATCATGAGACAGAAGCAATCATTTACACTGTTGGTTTCAAGGAAATATCATCAGCCATTTATGAGGGCATCATGCCCATATATGATATATATCTACTTGCCCTTCAACTAGTCCAGCAGCCTCTGTCACCAGTGTTCACCACACCAAACTCCACGAGAGACTTAGGTACTAACTACAACATCTACTCTCTCTCTCTCTCTCTCTCGTATCTATGAGAAGATTGGTTTGACCAACATCATTTGACTTACAGGTGGCCCACGCAAGAGGTTGATGTTTCAAGCTCCTGGTCTGAAGCTAACAGTTTCCTTCGTAACTTTGACAAGGATTTCTGTTGATAAAGTATATTAATCTCACGAGACATGCGGAACGTGGATGTGGGAATTTAATTTATACACCTATTGGCATAAAAAAAATATGTCAAAAAGGGTATAGCAAAATAACGACGTATACCCATACATACCCGGCGTCACATAAACTCCGATGCCTTTACTAACGGAGATTGATTCGTGGCTAACACTTCCTTCGCCATGAAACAATAAATACATTACAGAATAGCACGTTGTTGCTTTAGGAAACGTCATGTTTCGACCTACCATAACGACTTTTAGATAGCCAATTGACGTAGTTTGTTACTAAGCGTCGTACTAGAAAATTTGCCGAAAACAAATACGGAGAATAAAACGCTCAAGACAAGAGTCGATCGAAAATTGACTTTTATCTCGATGGTCGACACATCGGCCTTTTTCTTTTCTTCCTTGAAAAAACTTTGAATCGGTCTATATGTGTTTATACCGTCCATTACGTGTTATTTCATATTCACAATAAGCTGTTCCGTTTAATGACAATATAATATCATGGAATTTACTGAATTAAATAACCAAGTAGGAGAAGTCCTGCAAGGCTGCAATAATCATTAGAAGATTGAATTTTTCTTCCATGTCACTTTTACTCTCCTTCTATAGCAACCTGGGACTTTCGGATAGCAAACCTATGGCTGTTCTAACCTTCCCAACTTGTCGTGGATTTCTTAATTCATATGACGATCGTTAGCTGTTACCATTCATTTCATCGGACTATCGGATCGGCGGTCACGGCCTTAGATCACGCCCTCGACAGTAGAGAGGCAGTGATGTTCGCTGATAAGGCCTGCGTCCAGCGGGTGTCGGCATTGGCCAGAGCGAACACGGGAGCAAGGTTCCGACATTCCTTAAAAGGGAAAAGTGTCAAAAAAGTCCTAAACCTTTTACATTGATGCCAATTTAGTCATAAACCTTTTTTTTGTGCCAGTTTAGTCCTAAACCTTTTACATTGGTGCCAATTGAGACTTCAACCTTTTTTTGGTGTCAATTCAGTCCTAAACCTTTTGAAATGATGACAATTTAGTCCTAAACCTTTTTTTGGTGCCAATTCAGTCCTAAACCTTTTTTTTGTGCCAATTCAGTCCTAAACATTTTGCATTGGTGCCAATTCAGTCCTTTGACACGTGAATAGTTATTAGTCGGAAGGACTAAATTGACACCAATACAAGAGGTTTATGACTGAATTGGCACCAATGCAAAAGGTTTAGGACTGAATTGGTATAAAAAAAAAGGTTTATGACTAAATTGGCATCAATGTAAAAGGTTTAGGACTGAATTGGCATCAATGTAAAAGGTTTAGGACTAAATTGGCATCAATGCAAAAGGTTTAAGACTTTTTTGACACTTTTCTCTTCCTTAAAACCAGGGATAATCACGAAATCATTACAAACGCAGATCCCTTTTCTTCCCAGAGGAAATTTTACTTGGGGAATACAATGACCGATAATACAAGTGAACTTAGTGAAGAGAAAGGAGACACACATAGCTTAGATTGATGTATTTATCTCGTAACACGAGCAGAAACCGAAGTATGCTTCAGATGCTGCTAGTGCTACCCCAGCTTTCCAGGCTTGTTCGAGTATATGTTACGCCTTTTTCCGCCACTTGTTTTGCTCTCAAAGTGTTTAAAACATTGAACAAATTAAAATTTAATAACACATTACATATTATGTCAAAGTTCACGAATCATTTGTGCCGTTATCCGTAATAATTAATACGCATGCATACTTGTCGATAACTTCAAGCGGTACTTATGTGAGGATAAAGAAAGGAAACCGAGGTGAGAGAAAAGAAACGAGAATAATCTTTACTTTATTACTTCAATAATATGTGACAAACTCCTATTAAATGCAGAACGTCACCCAACTGCTCGAGCTTTTCCAAAACAATGTTGTGATAATCGTTTCCCTCTCTTGTACGTGTGTTGATTTTGTGATCGTAAGGACCTTCCGCGTTTCAATCTCGAATTGTGAATGAGCAAGTATTTAAGTTTATAACATTAGAGTATTGTTAATATATGTTCTTAGAGCACATGTTAAGCTTTTTCTCACTATATGTTTTGTCCGGCAGCAGCCAAGAGCCTCACTAATCCCTCGTCCGATGGCTACGCAAAGCTCAGGAGCATCAGGACAGCGACACCCACAAAGAAAAATTAGAACTTTCTGATAAAAAAGAAGGGTTAATACCACGAAAAATCCAAATTGATACATATATGATAAATTTATTCCAAACTAATTTAATTCCAAACCGGTACACATGTGATAAATTTACCTTAAACTAATTTTTTGATCACCAAAAATCCCAAATTGGTACATTTGTGACAAATTTACTCTCTTTTAAATTAGATTAATACCATGAAAAATCCAAAACCGATACACATATGACAAACGGAGGTAAAACTCCAAATTAGTACACCCGTCAACTGTCACGTATTATCCAACTCAGAAATTTAATAGTAAAATTTAACGGGCACTAACGGAGAGTAAAATTATCACAGGTGTACCGATTTGGGGTTTTTGATGGTCAAAAAATAAATTTTGGATAAAATTATCACAAGTGTATTAGTTTAAGATTTTTCATGGTGTTAATCCAAAAAAACAGAACCAAACAAATAAAGAAACACAGAAGTGGGCCTCCCCACGCAAATACCCCGTACACATCCCAAGGGAAAAAACTGGTCGCTTCAGATGCATGCGCATCTCCCGTGTACAATTTCAAGCCAATCAGAGGCATCTTCTACTAAAAAAAAATTATTATTCAAAATATAAGCGCCAGAAATTTTCGCGAAATCTCGTTCGTCGACCAACATCGGAGGCTCGGCGGTTGCATGCGTGGCTCCCAATACGGGACAACATACGCGACCAAAGAAACGTTTCGTTGACCGATGAATCTTGGGAGAATGGGGGATGGATCCGATTTGGGATTTGAAAATGAGCAACAAAGAGGCCATCTGCAATGTCAGCATCCCCGGAAAAATTACTAAAATAGTCATAAATTTGCTGTAATTGTGCCAATTCAGTCCTCAATCTTTTGCATTTACGTCAATTCAGTTCATCTGGCCAATTTTAACCGGCCGGCGCTGTCGTAGACGCCAGCCATCGGATCAACGCTAACGTGGAAATTTTTAAATATTTTTTCATTTTTTTCTGACTTATTTATTTGTTTATTTTTCTTTTTCTTTCCCACAGTGGCCGGCGAGGCTCGAAACATAAGGGAATGACCATTCCATCGCAGTGCACGCACATCTCCCATGCATAATTTCAAGATGATCAGGGAGCATTTTCTACGAGAAAATTAAATTAAAGATATAAGCCCTAGAAATTTTCTCGGAATTCCATTCATCGAGCAAATCTTATTCCATGGATCGATTTTGTGCGAAACAAGGGACACGGACTCCAAGGCATAGCCCCCTCCGTCATTTCTTGCATAGAGGTCAATTTTGAGCGAATGAGATTGAATCACTGAACGAGGGAACCATGAAAAGGTCAAATTTCTTTTACCAAGATACCCCCTTATTGGCTTATTTGGATCTGCTTCGCTCAATGATTGAATTTCGCATTCCTAATGAAAGCGTGACTGATCTTCAGACTTATCAAAATCCAGCTTAACCTCCGGTCCTCCATATGACAACCATCCTTTCAACAGAACAGGTTTTGTACTATTTACCGCATCCAGGATGAATGTCGAGAAGAATAAACTAGTTAGCTCGTCACCATAGAGTACGATCTTACGGTCGTTTTATTCACCAGGAGACAAATATTTGCAGAGTTCTCGTTAAAAGAGCATAATTGTTCGAAGTACATACCGATGTTGGTGGGCATGAGTTTGAATTTGATCGGTCACGAAGGTTGTGTAGTGTCATCACACTTGTTTTTGCAGTCTTTCTGGTTTTGGACGAAGCTTGGCCCCAGACGTACGGTCGGCCCTCACTCACGACAGAGCCAATCTTCATGCACTTATCAGTAGTTTGCATGCACTTAGAGCCTGACATTGACGTAGAATCAGGCCTTGTCACACTTGCTTTTAGCACTTTAAACACCGAAGTATGAAGACTGGTCCCAAAAGTTGCTCACACATTGCACCTTGCCTCTTGATCCAACTTAATTGATCCAAGAAAAGCGGTAGGGTACCATGTTGCAATTATAAGGTTGGAAGTGCAGTCATCCTCAGAGATGGATAGAAAGACCCGTCTCTTTTGAAATGCCACAAGAGGTCAACTGCTATGATTTCCCTTAAAAAAAATCCCAACTTTAGATCAAGTCCCAAATATGCTCCGAATTTTGTTTTGTCTTGTTGACACCAAAAATCGGCATAAGTGCCGAATCGGCTTTAATGCCGAATCCGGCGTATAATGGAAATCAGCCATCTTCCGAAACACGTCTGGACCAAATTCGGAAACATGCTTAGAAGCAAGTGTGAATGGTATCGTGTCCCGAATTCGGTAATTGATGAAAATATGTATATTTACCGAAATGTGGAGAGTTATAGTTCGGGACGTTGGAATATTTATGCCTCAGGACAGCGACCCTTTCCCGAAATTCGGGAGGTTCACATTTCGGGAATACACTGAAGAATCACAGCCCAGCCATGTAAATCACGACAGCAAGAAGTTACAAGCAGAAGTGGGGATAGTGAGCACGAGCATGTTATGGGAAGTTACTTGTCCATATTTGAAATCATCTTAGCGGTTGAGATCAAGTTTTGGCAGACAATA